ATGAAATAGTTGTTGTGTGATAACACGATGAAAGACATCAATGTTGACAGTGATCCAGTCATCTAGTGGAATATAGATGACGACCACGGAACTTGTAGGTGTTTTTGAACTAGGTGCTCATTAGGTATTTTTGAACTGAGTGTGTTCACTAGGTATTTTTGAACTGAGTGTGTTCACTATGTATTTTTGAACTGAGTGTGTTCACTAGGTATTTTTGAACTGAGTGTGTTCACTAGGTATTTTTGAACTGAGTGTGTTCACTATGTATTTTTGAACTCAGTGTGTTCACTAGGTATTTTTGAACTAAGTGTTTACCAGATGCTTTAGACTACGTGTTCCGCAGTTGTAGTCTATAAACCTTGGCAACAATGGACTTCGTACCTATTCCTTAGGATAATCCTTAGGAATAAATGAACGAGGAATAACTAATTCTTAGGGTAGATCCTTAAGAGTAAAGAAGATAATGGGGATGGGTAATTGGGTTGATTAATTGTTTGAAGATTAAACATAATAATTATATTATTGTGGGTTGAAAACCCTATGTACTCACCAGTTTTCCCAACCTGACCCACTCAAGCTTATTTGTATCACAGGTGTCGATATGAAGCTACTTTACACTGAGAGATTTAAAAGAGATGTAGATCACTAGTATAAATAAATGTAAGTTCTGTTTATGCTTATGTTTCTGTATTGACAATGACATCCCAATGTTTTGAAAATGAATAAAAATACATTTCCTCGGAAATGCTTTGATAACGTATTTATCATGTTTTCTGGGAACAAATTCCGCAACATTTTTGTTAAAAGAAGTACTCTGATTTTTATAAAGCATAAACAAAATCGGTCTTTTCTGGCCGTGAAAATGGGGATGTCACATTAGCCCACTGTCATGGGAACCCCCACATGGTCTTAGCCTGGAGTGCTATAGGAACCCCCCACATGGTCTTATAACCAACTGCCTCGGGAACCCCCCCCCCCCCCCCCCCCCCCCCCCCCCCCCCCCCCCCCCCCCCCCCCCCCCCCGATGTCTTCCATGCAAGTATCACAAAGACAACTAGCATACCAAATACCACACAATCAACTAGCATACAACATATAACTAATTGCCATGGGAACCCCCACATGGTCTTAGCTAACCAAAGAAATATCATACAAGCTAAACATACAAACATACTAGGATGCCATGGAAACCCTCCAAGGTCTTACAACAAATGTCATGGGAACCCCCACATGGTCATAATCTACTGCCACGGGAACCCCCCGGGGTCTTCCATGCAAATGTCATACTAACATAACGCATAATCAATCAACAATCCACATATCATAAAATGGGCCGGCCTTGGTGCCTTAGACCCATTGGTATGGTGAGAAGACTCACCTCGAATGCAGAAGCTTCCTGAAAAAAATCCTTAGCTGCTGCCCTGTCCACTTCCTGAGCTATCAATACCGATCCATATACCCAATTAGCAATTGAGTGACATACCATAATCCTTAATCCATGCATGGGGTAAAATGACCATTCTACCCCTGGCCCAGTATGATCCAAAACTAAGGCTCAAACCCAAAACAAAAGCCCAACACTATAATGTCCATAAATCAAGGTTCTAAAAAGCTCGCCATGGCTCCGCCATGGCGCGCCATGACTCCAAGGCTTGCATGTGCCGCCAAGCTTTACCAAAACGCCGCCTTGACTCATATATGTGTATAAAAATGAATAATAGTAGAAAATACATATAAAATATGAATTATATACAAAATTGCCGCCTTAAGTCACGCCTTACAAACGACGTGACTCGCCAAGGCTCGGAAAATCTTGAGGCTTGACATTGCCGCCAAGTCACGCCTTACATTATTTAGAACCTTGCCATAAATCCATCAATGGTCCAATTTTCCAAGTTAGACCCAAACCTCTACATGGGTCTTTCCATGAGGCCCAATCATTCTTTTCAGTCCAACACACTTAGCATTCCAATGGTCCAATAAAAATTCTCTGATGGCCTAAGGACCAAGCCCATTGGGCACACTAAAGATAAACACTACTACAAGGCCCAATATATGGCCCAATTTCTAATTGGGCCTAATCCCTTCACATGGGCCTCAACCTAAGGCCCAATAATGCTTCTCTAGTCCATAATCATGTTTCCAATTGGCCCACGAAGGCCCACAACAACCTAGTCCAAGAATTGGCCCAAACCGAGGCCCACAAATGCAAAGTCCATTTCTATATTGGGCCACAAGGCCTAATAGGCCTAACTGTTCCAATATTGGCCCAAAGATACATTCAGGCCCAAATATCAGCAAATCCAGGCCCAAAACCATTAGGGCCCAAAGGTCCGAAGTCCACTAAGGCCCAAGTCCTCCTGAGAGCGTACGCCCAACGCACCTCTTCTGTACGCTTAGCATACTGGGCGAAAGGTTGTACGCGTAGCGTACTACATAGTACACCCATCGTACAACCAGCTTATGCACAAAATCCATTAAGTGCTTAATACTTGAAGACTTTACGTCCCAAACTCAGATCTAGATCGTTTGATGAGTTCTAAGGCATAAAGTTGGCAACTTTATGCCTTTGCATGCTCCAAAAAGACCAAATAACATTCTACTTCCATAAAAATGGTCTTAACTCTTGCATGAACCCATTAAGACCTTCAAGATGGCAACTTTCTGTCTTAGGGACTCAAATAGCACCAAGGGTGGCAACCCTAAGCCTAAGAATCAGATTTGAACCATAAAGCTTCTTCCTTGGGGCCAAAAAGGTCGAAAAAATCAACATAAGAGATCTAAGGAAATAACCACCAAGTTTAAGACTTTATACCTCAAAGGAGAGCCAAAAGTTGGTGTGGTTCTGGATCTAAAAGCTCTATCTTCTTCAATAAGTCTTCAAGAATGAACACTTTCTTCAAAAGCACCAAAGTACTCCTCTAATGGCCATCCAAGCTCCAAAATAACTCAAATGAGGCCTAAAGGTCGATTTCTAGGGCTTAGAGGGATGGAGGCTGAAGTTATTAGGGTTAGGTTATGATATAAGGAGCTTAAATAGGGTCCAAGACCCTAAAATAGGGTTCTGATCTGACTGGCGTACGCCCAGCGTACATATGGTATGCCCAACGTACTCCGAAGAACATTCGCGCCCATCCTGGTCAGTACGCCCAACGTACTCCAAGTTACACCCCGTTTAAGACTTTATACCTCAAAGGAGAGCCAAAAGTTGGTGTGGTTCTGGATCTAAAAGCTCTATCTTCTTCAATAAGTCTTCAAGAATGAACACTTTCTTCAAAAGCACCAAAATACTCCTCTAATGGCCATCCAAGCTCCAAAATAACTCAAATGAGGCCTAAAGGCCGATTTCTAGGGCTTAGAGGGATGGAGGCTGAAGATATTAGGGTTTGGTTATGATATAAGGAGCTTAAATAGGGTCCAAGATCCTAAAATAGGGTTCTGATCTGACTGGCGTACGCCCAGCGTACATATGGTACGCCCAACGTACTCCGAAGAACATTCGCGACCATCCTGGTCAGTACGACCAACGTACTCCAAGGTACACCCCGCGTACTACCTTCTTCACTAGTACCCCCCGCGTACGCTTTGTGTACGCCCCGCGTACTCGGCTAAGCCTGAAAACCACGAAACTTCCGAAGGCCATAACTTCTTCGTTATAAGCCCGATTCCGACGATCCTTATATCCACGAAAAGGTAACGAGAAGCCCTACACTTATATCAACTCATACCTTTCTTAAGACCTTCCGAACAAAAATCCATTTTCCACAAAAGCCCGAACTGACACTTTACCGAAATACCCCTAGGCTCCAAAACATGAATCGAATCCTTATGATGACCGATCTTCGGGCCACAACCTCATACTAGGAATCGATTTGGAACAGGATGTTACATTTAGACTCTTATTTTCGGGTGGAAGAAAGTTGGAAGCAAGAGGCCAGGAAGATGAAGCATGGAATGGATTTAACCATGCAAGTCAAAGCTGGCAGGTGCCTTTTGCAGCCCACAAAAAAATTGCACTTAGACTTGCGCGACCCATGTAAGTCCTATGGGGTATTCTTGTCTTTTCACATTTGGTTGCTATTTAGAGGAGGTTCAGTGAGGTATTCTGCAACTTTTAAAGAAGAAATTGGAAGACTTTTTCTTGGAGCTTGGAGGTGTTCTTGAAGCTTGAAGATCATCGTTTTTTTCACTTATCTTTCATCTTAGTTGGAAGTTTGGTACACTTAAACTCTATTTCTTTGTCTTAAACTTAGCCATGTTAGATTAAGTTCATATTTAGTTGATATTGATATAATTCCATAGATGATTAACGACTTTGAAAAATATAATGACTTTGTGATGATTATTTATGAAAGTATTTTCTAGTTAGACTTCTTTTATATTCATTAGTTTAAATGTATGAATAGTTATTAGTTTGTTATTTTTTTTAATATGTAAAAGATCCTCAAATTAAAAAGCAACATATGATTTTTAATTAATGCAAAAATTGGGGGCTTAGATGTTTTTTTTTTCTAGCCCCTTTTGTTTTTACAGTTTCTTATGTTTGACTTATCAACTTTCAAGTTTTTGTTGATTTTTGTGTATGGTAACAAATTTTTAATTTTGATGTTTGATTTTAGACATGGATTGTTTGAAATTGTTTACATTTTACCCTTATGACCGGTTGTAGACAATCATAATGATAAAACATGAATTGTTTCAAATAATTTACGACTATATCAAGCACGAAAAAAAATAATAACTCTATTTGAACACAATTGAAACTTCTTTGCCATTTTAATCATTTCAAGTTATTATCTCATTAAAATATTATTGTATAATAATGTATATGGCGTAAAAGAAAAACATTTAATCCAAAACAAAAATGAGTTGTATACCTTGAGTTTTAAACCAGAAAATGATCACTTTTAATATCATATTATATTCTTCAAATCGGCAGAATGAATACTAAAATGCAGTACAAATACAAAGGGGTAAAGTAAGAAAACACTACCCTCGTTTTATTCTTTGGATTTTATTGAACGGCCTTCTTCTAAACCAAGGAATCCTCCATTTTCTTGGATTTTACTGAACGGCCTTCTTCTGAACGAAGGAATCCTCCATTTTCTTCGCAGTTTGATCCAGTCCATCTTGATACTTCTGAAGAAGATAATCATATGTCAATCCTTCAACTGGATCAACAGTAAACAACCATTTAATCACGCACCCTTCATCACCACCTCCAACCACCTTTAAAGTGGAAAGATATGATTTGAATCCAACATTGCAATCAACCATCTCGTAGCTCATTGACATCTTGTTCCGATCAACGGCCACTAACCGCTCCTTTGACCAACTGCAGTTTTGCTCAGCACTGCCATCTTCAGTTGGGAGAGAGAAACCAGCACAGTAGCGTATGCCGCCGACCTCGCCATTCACGCCATGGACACCGTAGCAAGTAGACATGTTGGGAAACCAGTTGTGGAAGTTGAAGAAGTCTATGAACAAAGGCCATATTTCATCTGCACTTGCTTTTGTTACAGTTGTTGATACCTTACCTTCCCATTTTGCCACAGACGACTTCTCCTCCATTTCTTTATCTTTATGAGAGAGAGAGAGAGAGAGAGAGAGAGAGAGAGATTGAGTGAGTGAGTGTGTGATATGTACTAGGTTCAGGAGGTTGGCAAGACACGTGACGTATAATGATCCATATGATGCGGAGGAGGCTTAGATAAGGCCGGTTAAAGTAAATATTTAAAAAAGAGAATTAATAGACTCGAAGACCGGTTGGTGTCGAATACGGTGATGACGGGTCACGGAGGTGCTCCTGTGAACACGACACCAATGGGTGTTTTAAAACGAAAGAGCATCTTAAATTGTAATTTTTTTTATGGGTCCTGATTTTGCCACTGATAGTTTTTATTCATCCACTCGAAATTTTATATATTGACATTAATACCCTTTAATTTAATTAATAAATAAATTAATAGAGAGAGAAATATCCAATCTCCAAACTGCCTACTGTGAAAGTGTAAAGACAATGGGCGTGTTTGGCAAAAGTAGCTGTTAGCTGGAAGCGGGTAGCGGGTAGCTGGTAGCGGGTAGCGGGTAGCGTGTAGCGGATAGCTGGTAGCGGGAAGCTGTAACTTTTATTTGTTATGCGAGTGTTTGGCAAAAGTAGCTGGAAGCTTTTGAAATATATAAAATTACATAAAAGGACAATTGATTAAAAATAAATAAATATATAAATATATTTTTAAGGGTAATTATGGAAATTGATTTCAAAAGCTCAGTAGCGTTTTGTTAAACGCTACATGAAGTAGCTTTTAGATTTGTAGCGTTTTGTTTTAACTAAAAGCTAAACGCTCGTACTACCAAACGAAACTTTTTGTTTAAACAAGAGCGTTTTGTCAAAAGCTAAAAGCTAGAAGCTCCCAAACGCTTCCAAAAGTTTCATGCCAAAACACGCCCAATATTTTCTACTTCTCCTTCGTTGATGCTTGTTCATCTGCACTGCTTCTTCACTTTCTAGTCGCTGCTTCTTCGTCTCACTCTTAAATGGTGAAAGGGTAAGTGAACTTGAATACATCTCCTATCGCTTCTTCATCTCGCTCCAGTACCACTCATTGACCTAGAATTCCCGTCGGTATGCTCCAAAAATTGACGCTCTCTTCCAGTTGTTAATCCTAAAATCGATCGGTGTATGTGTGCATTCCTTTATTGATCGTTGTATATGTGTGTTTATCTGCAATTCTTGTCGGTATGCTCCAATCGAAGGCCCCTTCTTGATCTAAAATACTCGTCGGTATGTCTCTGTAATTCCCGTTGGTGTGTGTTCATCTGCGATTACCGACCAATATCTATGTATCTTTGCGTTCATCTAAAGGTCATTCGATAGGTTGTTCTTTGATTATCAGAAGTCAGAACTTCTTTTTTCAGCATCTAATTGTTATTCTTAATTGATTTATTTAATGTTTCAACACTTGTAGTTATTTTGTAAATATTGCTTTCTTTTTCACTATTGTGCATATGAAGTGAATGATTTGTTGTGGTTATTTTGCAATCGTAAGTTACTTTAACCTTTGAAAGACACAGTTTGCAATAGAAAGTTATAGTATAATGTATCTTTGAACTTGCAAGATGGATTGAATCATTTTTTTGTTGTGGCTATTTATTTGTTGTGATTCTCGATTAAATCATTTGAACTGGTGCATGCTTTAGTGTCAAAAATCTTATTTTGCAATCTTTGCATAACTCGTATAGTTCAGAATTTAACATTGTCGGCCTTTTTCAAACTTTAATGATCGATTAGGAGGTATTGAGTGATTTTATAAGGGCATACATTACAACGTAAACTCGTTGTAGTCTAATTCCATATCCCTTTTCTTTTTTGTTTCAGTTTTGTTTTTCATCACACACCATCCATTCCCCTGTTATTGTACTCTGTCCACAAGCGCAAACTACTTCATCATTGTTGATTCCTCAAGAAAGATGGAAACGAGGACATTCAAAGATGGCACAGAAGATGATGATTCAGAGATGGAGAATGGTTATAATTGGGAAGAAGAAATGATGTGGATATTATATTAATTACATCAAGGAGAAGGAAGTATCGAGTTTTCGTGGTGATACCAGATCATCAAATGACCGCACCATTCTGAGTGAAAGAAGATGATGCTGAGGTATTATTATACCTTAAATTAATTCATATCACGTCAAGCTCATGTTTGTGTTGGGAATAACAATCGGAGAACAGAGCGTGTGAGGGAGTGCCCCCCCCCCCCCCCCTCTCAAGTAAAACTTTAATTGTAGCATAGTGCATAGATAAATATAAAGCCCACGAATAATTAGAAGCTCACATCATCTATTACTAACTAGGTGTGAGATCCATGTATTACATGAGTTTATTTAAAAAAAATTAAATATAAAATTTTAACAATTTGAAAAATTTGAATTTATAAGAAAAATGAGAAATTTTTTGCATTATTAAAATTAATGAGACTTTAATGTATTGAATACATTACATATATAAACTCTTTCTAATAAATACCTTACGTATATATTATCTTACATATTAAATGTGGAATTTTAATTTAATAAAATGAAAAATACAATAAAATGACAAGTGGAAAATAGAAAATTTAAAAATTTTAGAAAATGTCATGTGTCCAAATGAAGGAGAAGATGACATGTGGCAAAAAACCTTCGTTTATTAGAGTAGATTTGTACTTTAGTAGTGCTCAACACTTCTCATTCTTTCTTAATATCAATTACTATATAAGAAAATAAAAGTAACCAGTCTCACATTTATTAACTAAAATCTCACTGCATTCACACACATTTATTTTTATTGCCAGATTGCTTCGGTTTATTTTTTAATTCATGTTCATAAATTGATATCTTAATTGTAAATCACTCTAACGAGTAGTTTCTTTATTTTCCACACATAAAGTTATATATGATTTCTACTTTGTGAAACAAAGACAAAACAATTAAGACTAATAGATAAAAATTGGTGTTTATAATCGTTTGAAAACATTTTTTTGAACAAAAATTGTTTTAAAAATGTGAAGATTGATTATTGTAATTTGTAAAGATGGATGTAGCCTATATTTAAATGATTTTTTTCACTATCAATTTTACAGACTCAATTATGTTATTTGGATATAAAAATATTTTAATATCTTATTACGATGTAAGCTCTCCTTATCCTAAAATCATAACTCCGCCCCTGGCCGTTTCAAGCAAATGATACATCACACAAGCGTGTGTATTACCTTATTAATGGGATATATCGCGAGTTAGCTATATTTGTGAAATCATTTTCATGTCCAAACGACGAAAAATGATTAAAGTTTAAGTCGGCCTAAGAATCATCTAGGAAGGATATCGAGTGAGCATTTGATGTTCTAAAGAAACATTGACAAATATGCTTAGTACTGACACAATCAAAAGAATAATATGATTATAGAAGATGAGGGGATGACAATTTCCCGCTACAATAAAAATGAGAATTTACCAACATTCGAAAGAGTAAGTATCGGTACATTGGGATACATGGCGAACATAGGGGAAGTATACGATCGTGTCGGACACCACAACCTTCACACTGATTTGGTGGAAGATTACCGACGATGATTAGGCGTGACGTACTATTTTACTATATTTCGATCATGTTTTTTTAATTTATTTATGTCTTTTTTTAGTATGTATTTTTTTAATTAATGAAACGGTTTTCTTTTATTAACTTTATACAGTTACATTTTATTAAATTACATTTTATATAATTACAAAAAAGTATGGTATCATTCCGTGTTAGTTTTGTGGGGTGCGAGAAAAAATGATATGGTGCTAAAAAATATGGTAATATGTGACATCACACCCACCGGTCTAAGTATAGACTAAGATAGAATGACATTTAATTTTTATATTAAATTTGTTATTTTAAAACCTAAAAACAACAAAACTTTTTTCACCATTCATCTACCCCTTTTGTCCAATCAATTGGCTACAAGATAACTTTCTAGATGCCCTCGATGGATTGATTCGTGGTGTATGTGGTAAACTAGTAATTAAGTCAACAATAAAGTAGAAATACAAAATCCTTCTTCTGTAATTGGAAAAAAAGGTAGTACTTCCCAATTTCCACTACTCTTTCTTTCTTTCGATATTTATGAACTATATATATCTGAAGTATTATATGATTTTGAAATTGTGTCTATCGCTTATTTGAATTTGGATACATAATTTTGTAATTTGTGATTGTAAATAACTGTATCTATAGTCAATTAAGTCATGTGAATGTTTGAACTTTAAAGTCATAGTAAATTGCAAAATTGGTCCTTATGGTTTACCAAAAAAAAATACCGTTTGAGGTCAATTCTTTTAATGCATGGTTGGTCCAAAATTGAAATTTTCATGTAGATTTGGTCCATCGACGACTTAACGTCATCCAAAACATCTATTAAGTCTCAGATCTCTTTAAACGTTAGGGACATTTCGTCTTTTCAAGTGTTTATTTTTTTTTATATATATCCTAGCCCACCTACTCATATTCTCTCTCTCTCTCTCTCTCTCTCTCTCTCTCTCTCTATATATATATATATATATATATATATATATATATATATATCCCTCCAAATTCCAATGACCAATGTTTGCTATGTTTGCATCCCTTAAATCGTTAAGAATGAGTCATGTTGCGTACGTTGGGCGTACCAAATGGTACGTTGCACGTACACAGTTTGAGCCCCGGCACCTCGGACCATGAGTGCTCCCCCGTGTACAGGGTTTGAGTTGACTCGGCTGATTTTGTTGATTTTAATCGATTTTGACCAAGGGCATTTTGGGAAAATTGTTATTAATTTATAATGAGAAATGTTTTGATTATTAGGAGTCGGGTAGAGCCGGTTGTCGGAGCAGAAATTCATTCAGACTGTATTCAGACTGAGACTGAGAGGTGAGTTTTCCCCACTGTACTTATGGGTCAAAGGCACCAAGGTCGGCCCATTGGACTATATATCCTGGTTGTTGTATGATGTTATGCGGAGATATATGGTTATTAATTATGTGATTAAACTGGTAGATATATA